TTATCGTCATAATTACTATCATTATTATTGCCTTTATTATTATCATCATAATTATATCATTAACCCATTGGATCTGGATGCTTCACTAACCACATGCAGCCCAAAATACAGGCATTTGGCTTACTTAAGCAACCACTCTGACAGGTGTGTGGCATGTAGGCTAGGTGCACACTAATACTTGTGTGTGATGACAAGACTCTATGCCTCCTCTATACAATGTAATTTTCTCTTTTTTTGGAATAAGCAGTTTTAGTTGTTGTTGTTTTTCATTTTCCATTGTCTATATTTATCATTTGATTTTTGTTCTCTAGATGGCAAGAGACTGGTTTCCTTGCACAAACTTCATATCATCTCTCTAGGTAGTTAATAACTCAGTGCAATAAGAAAAATATCAAGTAACATTTTGTTATTTACAATTTCCTGTAATACAACCTTCTACCCTGGTCACGGCAGGCAGGAATAGGATCCTGAGCATGGAAATAGCATCTTCCCTGGTGCCAGTGCTCTTTGTCATGGTTTATGGATGGTACATTCCACACTCCTTTATATATGGAAATAATAAAAAAAACTTTCTAAATGCCCACTTAGTCTAGTCACCCTCAAGAGCTTTCAACACTGATGGCGAGTCATTTCATTCACCCTGGGCTTCAGCTGAAATTCTCATGACAGCTTGTCCTGCTGGCCCTCAACCAAATTCTCCCATGATGCCCCTCAAGCCAAATTTTTCATGATAGGATAGTCACATCATCTGGATCATAGGGGTTAACTATAATGACGTCAACAACAACAACAACAACAACAACAACAACAACAACTTTTCACAAACATTCAAGGAATTGGGTAAATAGGTGAAATCAGATATGCCTAGTAATTGACTCAGCAGACACTTGGCTAAAGAAAAATCTTGAAGACTTGAGGAAAATGGTCATTTACTTGTCATTTACTTTCTCATCTTTCTCTATCCATAATACAATATCATATAATGGCATGATTCCTTATTTAGAAGTAACATCATACCAGTATCATACTTTGAAAAATAAAATAAAATCAGCACATCTCTATTATTATAATTATATTATCAACAATATAATTTCTTCCTTACCTATAGTTATCGAGACTATCTGAGCACCAGGGGCAACACCATTCCTCTCTGGGGCATCAGGGAAATTAGCTGATGCGATGGAAGCCACATGCGTACCATGACTTGCTGGAAAGAAATTATATAATAATTTAGGTAATATTACGTGACGTAATATGTTCACACATTGGATTTTCTTACATTATACATAATTTGTTTGTTCTGGGTGCCGTGCTCCATATACATGGGCCAAAATCGAGGCATTAAGCATCCTAGAGTGGTGACTTTCTGAGGCTGTGGCTTGTAGGTCTGTCCCACATGAACATTCATGCATGGTATCAAGACTCCTTGCCTCCTCTTTAAAATGTTATTAACCCTATTTTCTGAGGACTACATCTATTATATATCGTGCTACATTAAAGTAATAATAGGCTGTTTTTGGTGAGCAGATTCTATATTAGCTCTCAAGGTAATGTTCACTTTGTTCACTAACAGCAGATATAAGTTACATTGTGGTATTCATGCCAATTCTTTTATTTTCATAATATCAAATATTCTATAACACACCCTAACACCACTAGTAACAGCAGGCAGGAAGAGCTGCATGGAAACATAGTGTCCTCCCTTGAGACAGCCCTCTCTTTGACATGGTCTACAGAGGGTGAGGTTCACACTCATGGACATGTGGAATTCATGCAAATACCTGCAAACCCAGCCCCTTATAGAAGACCTGAAGAGTCACTCTCATTCAAAATGCTTTGTATACTCATGACACATTCCTATCACCTAACACTTGGCAACAATTTCCAATGACAATATGTTCCTGGCATATGTATCTAATGATCAGACTTCCTGTCACCCACACCTCCACCAAATATTTCATGGTTAGATGTCTGTGTCACATGCATCCAACAAGTTATTGAGTATAAAATCACCATTTAGAGAAGTATAACATTACTATCTTCAGAAGTATAACATTTATATTTGTAAAGTTGCTCATACATAAACAAGAAATTCATATACTTACAACACATTCCAACAATTTCAAGAATATTTCCATCATTGTGCACATTTACAGAGATATTGTACTGGTCAGCTGACGTAAGCGATGCCCACTGGTGAGTAATTCTATATTCCCCTAGATGAATTCCAGATTCCAGTTCTCCCCGTTCTGATGTATCAATACATGCCCTGGAAAATTTATTTGGGTTATAACAAATGCTATGTCATTGTTTTTGAAATTCAACAATGAAGTCTTGACTTAGTTTTATTCACTGAACATATTCTTAATTCTATAGTACAGTCACACTGTCAAATAGATTTCCTGTCCCTTAATCCATTGTCACAGGAGATGACATGTATATACATGCCATGTTGACTGTAATTTTGGTTTATCAATTGTGTTTAATTCATAAATGGTTCCAAGTGCTTAGTCATCAACATAAATTACTAGTTTTACCATCACTTAATTTTCAGATAGATTTTCCCTTTTCTTTCTTTCTTATATTGTAAATACCAGTTAGTAATATCATAATAATCCTAAAGTTATATTGTAAATACCAGGTAATAACATCATAATAATCATAAAGTCAATAATAATAATAATAATGATGATGGAATTACAATAATGTTAATGACAATAATAACGATGATGATAATAATGAAAATGATACTGATGATGATAACAATAATAATAAGATGTTAAGGTAAAAAAAAAAAAAAAAAAAAAAAAACACCAATTGAGAAAATTTAAGATTATAGTATTGTAGGCAATGAAAAACTACATTCACTGATATCAAAATTAATCTAAAGAATCCAACTGATTCCAGTTAAATGACGAAAATACATCAGTGAAAGCCACACGGAGACTATGCCCAACATTCCTCCAGCAACTAAGTTCACCTCTCCTCACCTAGGAGCAAACAACTTAGATGCGCTGTAACCCAATGTAACCTGTCTTGGAACATGTACTTTGTGACATCACGGTCAATCATTGTTAATCTGTGCAATGAACGTATTTCTGTATTTCAAATTTTATAAAATTATACCATCTATTAAAAGTTCATTCCTTAAATAAACTTTGCCATTTTATTACATAGAACCTCATTTTTATTAGAAATACATGTTACATCCATATTTGTGTATGTGCAGTCATCTACCAGCAAATTTGACTATTCTGTTGTCACAGTGCTCTTTGCTTATTCCTAAAGTGAACTTTGTTTACAGTGCTACTTGTGTTTCCAAATTCTTTTTCCAACTTATTGGTGAAAGCCATTTCTTATGAGAACATTATAATATCAGGGACAGTACTAAATTCAGAATTTCGTCAGAGAATCATTACATTCCAGCCACCTTCACTTCCACCCAATCTTTAAAGGCACAGTCCGTGGCAATGGGGAGGGGGCCCAGAGGTAGAGCCCCCAGTAAGGAAATAAGAGAGATTGTTCACTTGGCGATCATTCTGATATTTTGTGCATTTATGATAGGGTTCATTCGCTCATTTGTTTACATAATGCAGTTTTGAATCTTCCATGGTCAAGTCTTGTCTATAGTTTTACATTTTCCACTCTCTTCTGCTCTTTTAACTGCCTGCTATGAGTGAAATTTCTCCCCCCAACCCCGATTCCCCTCAGGATCCCCCAATATTACTGGCTGATATTCAGGAACTTGTTATAAACCTCTACCCAATAAAAATAACAATAATAATAATTATTATTATAATAATAATAATAATAATAATAATAATAATAATAATAATAATAATAATAATAATAATAATAATAATAATAATAATAATAATAATAATAATAATAATAATAATATAATAATAATAATAATAATAATAATAATAATAATAATAATAATAATAATAATAATAATAATAATAATAATAATATCAATATTAAGAACATTAGAAAAAAAATTAATGCTGTTCTCCAGTTTTGGGATTTTTTTTTTTTATAAAGCTATTAATATTGATGTCAATATTATCATCTAAATTACAATCATCTTAGTCTTATCAAAAATACTAACTGCATTATAAAATCAAATAAAAAAAAATAAAATAAAAAAAACAAGAAAAAGGGTAAACAAGTGAGATAAGTCTCATGACAGACTCATGGGTGGCTAAATACTTGTGGAGCCATCTATGTGTAAAGACAATTAATAAACTAAATTCATTGTGGACATGGCATGTCTATACATCCCATTCCTGACAACATCTGGTTAATTGAATATAAAAGTACTGGTAATCCTTGCGACTTAAACCTCAACAAAGTTTCAATAAATATCTTTTATCCAGTGAGAAATGTTGGATATAGGGGTTGTAGCTAATCTAAAGGCCATAAAATACTGATGAAGGAAAATTCTAAGATTCAAGATCTGGACAACATTAATGTATAACAAGACAGAAAGAAAGAAGAAAAATTCACTGGGTGGGTTACTTTCCACCCACCTACCATCAGTACAAATTTACATGTATGTACACTTGACAAGGTACTCTAACCTCAAACTTTGTATGCATTTTACATCCTTTCTCACCTTTTAAATCTGATTACTTACCTCCACACATCTCCATCATGATATAGGACACAATCATAAGCTGGTCCCAGGTCATTGTACTTTTTCTCCAAGCTGTTAAGCAGTGATACCCTGGTTTCAGCATCTTCTTTTGTCATTTTGTCAATCAAACTATTAGGGCTGGCTCCATTACTACTACCATTGCTTTTATTATTTTCCAACAACTGAAAAAAAAGTTTGATATAGCACACCACACTCCTGAATTAATTTACTATTTGGACACGTATAAGACTTTCAATTACTTCAGAAACTGAAAATTGGCTGCAATTATTAATCAAACTTTAAAATCATTGTAAACTAAAAAAAAAAAAATGTATGACACATGACAACAAACTTACAGACTAACTTGAATTAAAGATAAGATTAAGAATATCATAATTCATTTAGCCTTTAACCTTTCCTGCATTATTAAGTGAATAATCTTTATGAATAAACAGTTAAAGATGACAAATCATTTCAAAACAAAGAATATACCTGTAACTTTCTTTGTGCCTCTGCCAGAAGAATTTTGTGAACAGGGTCCCACTGCTTCTCTTTACGCTCCTTAATGATTCGCTCTCTCAGCCGTTGAGGGTAGAGAGTATAGGCACTCTTTACACCTATATGGAACTTCCCTGATGGATTAACCCAGGCCTCTGGAACCTATCAGAAAGTAGTGTATATAATAATTAATAAGTAGTGCATTATAATAATTAGGCCATTATATTATAACAATTATAATAAGTAGTGCATTATAATAATTATGAAATTCTCTTCACAAAGAATCTAAGCATCATGATCAAAATGGAACCTACTTTTAGTTTACGACCAGTAAGACCTGCAATAACACCATCTGTGGCTTCAACAACTGTGGATGTATCAACATCTCCAGCTCCTGATGCATCAATGCGATCAATGACTTTCACTTTTCCTTCTGTTGTAACCTGGAAGAAAAAAATTAGTCAGTGCAAAATAACATATCATATACTTTAGATCCCAGACATCAGCTTATCTTCCTCTTGAGCACTAGAGTTTATAAAATATAGTGTCTTCTAAGAAACCTGAGAAAATGGTATATGAGAAAAAATGGTGAAACAGAATAATAGGATGATAGAGTAGAAATATCACATCCTTTCTCCTGTAGTCTTCCCTTAATAAATTATGTGAAGAAGTAAATATAGCAGATGATGATTCACCCTTACCTGAAGCCCAGGTGCCCCTGGGTCAACACCTGAGTCAAAGATAGCAATCACTGTCCCACGCCCATCAAAGTTTGGGTTCTTAGAAAGTAGACTAACAACACCAGTTTCCTTCCTGTTGGTAGAAAATAGAGATAATGTTACACTTTTGACATAAAGGTAAATTCTAATCCTTAAATAATTTCACAATAACCACTGAACCTTTGTAGCTATATGGGGGGACTATTATACATGTAAATCCACTACACTCCTTATGAATCAACATTTAGCTGCAAAAGAAAGTATAATGGATAATAAATCTTTATGTGTACTTGTAACCTGCCTAAATCATACTCAATTTATTTCCAATATATCAAATTTATTTTATGTGATTTGTGAAACCACTACATGAGGGCTGAACTCTACATAACACAAAGGAAATTCTGAAAGGACATTGAACAAATGGGTAATTCTTTTGTTTATGTACATAGAGTTTCCTCTTTAAAAAAATAAAGCTCTATCCTCTCCACTCACTTAAAATGGGGACATGGATAGTGCATCTAGACTGAAGGTGACAGTGAATCTCTCTTCAAAATCTAACATCATTATGAGTATCTATTACATTCTTCCTGGAGAAAATAATTGGGTATATCTTATAATCTATAATTTCTAATAAAAAATAAACAGATTTTTTAAGCATTTCATTCATAACCTGTCGCTGAATCAAAATAAAATCACATAAATCGTCCTGAACTTCCTTCCTTCGTCTGCTAAATAAATATAATTTAATTTCTTTGATGTTAATGATATTAATCATATAACTTCCTTCTTCGCCATCTCCTCAACATGCCAATTAAGAAATCGACGAATGGTTACGCAGGAGGAGAGAGCAGGTGGAAACTATCTTTGTATCTTATCATCCTTCGTTTGGGATTTAAAGAGGACAGAGAGCCAGACTGACAGTGCAAAATTTCCCTATTTCATTTTCTCTCTTAACCCGGCCATTAAGGGATCTTGTCTGATTAGCGAGGACTACTTCGCATTCTTGATAGATTTGAGGCATAAAAAATATCGTCAGCAGTCGATATTTACCTAGGAAGAAGGCCCCAAAAAGGAAACTCCCCGAGCGGTTCGGTCGTCGACGCCATCTTTGTTGTTGTGGCGAACGAACGTAAAGATTTTGGATAACGTTCGCTTTTCCTCACTCTGTGTGTTTGTATGTGAACTACTCTACAGAATATGTTGGAGAGGCAAATTCTCATAATACAATGCACATTTCTGATGCTTGATAACTCGACAAACAGTGGAGAACGAAGATCTTGAATGTATTTCTACAAACGAAAGGGAATGTAACAAATGTGTCTATTTATGGGATACACTAACATTCGAATGTGCGTACATTTCTAATATGTTTCGTGAGTATTCTTCCTTTCAATCCGATTGTCATGTCATGTTATCCCACGTAATGATAACCTACGAAAATTTGCGATTTATATATTGGGATTTTTTTTTATATCTTACAATGTGATAAATTTTGATGAAAAATGAATGCAGGTAATAAAAACAAGTGTGATATCAGAAATGGATATTGACGTATGTATAAAAAAAGTATCTTGGAAAACAAATAAACAAACAATTGAACACACATAAATATTACTTGGGCAAAAATACATACGTACGCGCACA